ATACCTATATATATTTTTTGGGGGGGGGTCCGGTCGTGGTGCTTGAATTCTGGACCTGGGTGCTGTACCTCAGAGGCTCTTCAGCTCAAGGCTAGCGCTCTACCACTTGAGCCACAGCACCACTTCCATTTTTTTTTTTTGCTTATGTGGTCCTCAGGAATTGAGCCCAGGGCCTCAAGCATGCAAGGCAAGTGCTCTACCACTGAGCCACCTTCCCAGCCCCTATTATTTATATTTTTATTATTATTAAGTAGTTGTAAAGTGACATTTTTGATGAAAATGGGAGACTTTAATCAATCACTTCTCTTTCATAATGATGAATAAAATTGATAATTGCCCCTTCCTGCTATGTGCAGTGTGCTTTGTGTGTAGGTCTTTGTCAACAAGTTATTAACAACTTCTGCATATTAAAGTCAGTTAAGCTAAAATAATAGAAGTGAGCCATCTAAAGTAAAAGAAACAGTATTTTCTCCTGGAAATTCACTTTTATGTAGGGTCTTTCAAATATCTTATTTCATCAGTCCCCTTTTTACAGATGAGTTTTGAGAGGTTACATAGATTATATTCTCTAGATTCTCAATTGAGCAAGTGGCTGAATTGACTCAGATCTGTTTAACGCTGGAATAGTTGTCCTCCCCCCATCCCCTACTACTGTATCACCTCACTTTCCCTGGAAAATCCAGGTATTAGGTAGGTGAAATTTAAAGTCCTTTTGTGTTTCTGTTATCTATGATATGATTTAACCTTTTTCTCGCCCTCCCTGCCCCCAGGATAATACCATTCCAGCTGAATGGCCCTCAGCAGATGAATCCACCACCAGCAAAATTTCACCACTTGGTTTCAGCTCTGGTCCTCCCTCAACCACTGGCAGGGAACTGTGGTCAGAAAGTGCATTGAGTGATTTAGTGTCTACATCTAAATTAGTCTTCCCCTCGGAATTGGGCCTCAGTTCTTCCCCAGAGGTATTAGATGTTAGCCGCTTGACTCTTCATTCTGTCACCCCAGCAGTGCTTCAGACTGGTTTGCCTGTGGCTTCTCAGGAGGGAACTTCTGGATCTCACTTATTAGAAGATGGTGAGGAGTTTTAAGCACTTCTTGTACTTCTTAATTGTATCAGAATGACAAGAATTTTGAAGAGAAGAAGGAACCATATTATGAAGAGAAAAGCATAGTAGCATTTATTAGGGGAAAAATATCTTAGGAAATGTATCTGAAAGAATAAACTATCAGATTTCAGTGGGCAAAATGGAGAATCCAAATTGATATAGTAATAAAAAATAAACTTGGGGAGGTGGTGTAAAGATCAATGAATAGATATTCTTTTTATTTTATTGTAAAGATGCTGTAAAGAGGGGTTACAGTTACGTGAGTAAGGCAATGAGAAGATCAATTAATAGATATTTTGAAGACCGTATTGATATGTATATAATTAAGTTACTGTAAGTAAAGAACTTCACTTACTTACGTATGAGGGCACATGCCAGTACCCAAGACGATTTTTCCAGTACTTTCCAATTAGTAGTATTAATTATGTATTAATTATCGGATTCAGTTAAATATTTAAGGTTATAGTAGTATAGAAAAGGGGAGAATCTGAACTAGAGGAGCTTTGGAAGAGAATGAGAATGAAATGAATGATCTTATGTTGTTGAGGAAAGGAAACCATCAATGTGATGTCAAGGTAAAGAAGGTATATGAAAGAGAACGACAAACAAAGTTATAAACAAACAATGAATCTAGGATTTTGAACACAGGGGGGAATCTGAAGGAAAATGCACAATAAGCACAATAGTGAAAATAAGAATTCAGAGAAAAACACAATTTCCAGGAAACTCTCTCCCTAAATTTCTGGTGAATTCAATCTTGAGTGATCAATATGGCAGTTAATTTCCCTGAAAAAGAAATGGGAAGTTTGAAGATTATTTTGTTCAATAATCAAAGTCTTATGCTCATAGAAAGGGGATTATATTCATGAGTGATTGTCTCACATTATAGATATATGATTATAACTTCTTGCATGCTAAATATAGCACACAAGCCAACAACTGTCCTTGATAACTAGAAAAATAGCTAGTTTTATTAAGAACAGTAGGAGAATATATTGGCTACTTTGTAGATTAAGAAAAAAATTATTTTTAGAATTAGCCAATATTGAAGAGTCAAATGTTCTTTCTACAGATTCATTACCTTCAAGTGCATTCGTTCAACCTGTGCCAAAAGGAACAATACCATCTATAGAAGACTCGGTTGTGTCCCTGACATCCTCACCATATCTAACCTCATCTGTTACATTAGATCTTCTTGATAAAGAAATGACTTTTGAATTGGGCTCCTTGGCCTCCAAAGTCACAGACCATTTAGAAGTGGGGCCTTTGTTTCCTGATACATCTGTGGGAAAAGAGGTCATATTTGAGAGTGGTTTAGGTTCTGGGTCTGGGCAAAAGGAGGATCTGATAACTTGGCCCTGGAGTGAGACTTCATTAGACAAGAGCACTGAACCACTGTCCAAGCCATGGTTTGAGGATGAGGATTCACTTTTGCCAATTAAAGGCAGAGGTGAGAAACTACATACAGATGGAGAAATGGATTCCACAGATCTAATTATTGAACAGTCAAAACATAGTCAGGATGATAGACACATACATTTTGCAGAAACAGAGGACCTCAGTGGACCTACCACCATACCCACCTTTGTAGAGTCTGTTACTCAGTCTGCATCTCTCATATTTTCCAAGCACATTTCAGAAGTATCTGACATTGAGCATTACTCAGTTACAAAAGCACCACTTCTACAGACATCTATAGCAAGTTCTGCTTCTGCTGAGAAAACAGAGCAAGTGGATGTCTTTCTACAGGAGCACATAGAACAAACAACAGATTCATCGGGCCATGAATTGCTTGACAGCAAGGTTTCAGAGGTGAAGGCAGATCTGCAATCTGTGTGGACCGTATTGCCAGAAGCAGATATAGTTTGGACAAGAACTTCCCTGGAGAAATTGTCCAGAGATACAGTGGCAAGTACACTGATGAGTACTGATAGACCCTGGTTGAAATCTTCCATGACACAGTCCACTAAATTGCCTTCAACCACAAGTTCCACCCTGCTAGAGGATGAAGTAATAATGGGTGTACAGGATATTTCATTAGAACTGGACCGGGTAGGCACAGATTACTATCAGCCTGAGCTAATCCAAGAGCAAAATGGCAAGCTTGGTAGCTATGTGGAAATATCTACAGAGAAGCCTATTGTGGCTCAGCCCACCAAAGGAGGTGACAAAGGTGACACTCAGACCACAGGAGCTTTGGTGGTTTTCTTCAGCCTTCGAGTGACTAATATGATGTTTTCAGAAGACTTGTTTAATAAAAACTCTTTGGAATATAAAGCCCTGGAGCAAAGATTCTTAGAATTGGTAAGCTCAAAAAGTTGGCATTAGGGAATAATCATGTATGACTCTCCCACATTCTCAGCACACCCAGGGAAGTGTGATCTGTAAGTATTCATTTCCTGTCATTCGCAAATAGCACCATGGCCTAGGGCTGGTAGGAGGACAGTAAGATAGGTGGAAATGGAAAACAAGAAATGGAAAACACAAATGTGGAGTGGGGTGCTATGATAGGCTAGATACTGAAGATTGTATGATAAGAAGGCTGGTACTGAAATGAAATGCGAAGTCATAATGTTAATATGGTATCATTGTCTTTGGAGGTACTCATACCTTCACTGTTGTGATTCTTTAGTGAAACAAAGCACAAACACTCTAGGTATCTGAAATGGTGTACGAGTTTCATAGAATTCCTCAATGTCACTGTGACAATCTCATGACTTTCCTAAATTATTCTCTCAGTCACCATTTCTTGTTAACTAACAGTTTAAATGTGGATAAAATACAACTAGGAAAAGGGGGAGAGGGATTCATGCCTGTTCTTTTTGTCTCTTTGGTGTATATTCAACAAAATGCAGAACCTTATTAATAAACATCACTTTTCCTGTTATTGTAGTTGGTTCCCTATCTCCAGTCAAACCTCACAGGGTTCCAGAATTTAGAAATCCTAAACTTCAGAAATGGCAGCATTGTGGTGAACAGTCGAATGAGGTTTGCCAAGTCTGTACCTCCTAATGTCAATAATGCTGTATACCTGATTCTGGAAGACTTCTGCACTACAGCCTACCAAACCATGAACTTGGATATTGATAAATACTCCCTGGATGTGGAATCAGGTAATGATATTGCTTACCATGGTGAATTCTTAGTAGAATCCAGTGATTATTCTTGTATGTTTTATTTTTCACTGTGTTAAGGTGAATCTAATACTTAATAGAGTACTATGTTAGACAATTTTTTTTTGGTGGTCCTAGGGCTTGAATTGTGGGCCTGGGTGCTGTCCCTCAGCTCTTCAGTTCAAGGTTAGTTAGCTCAAGATTAATTTTAAACATCTTAAGAATCAAACATTTTTCCAAAGACAACAGTATCATCTCTTCTCAGGGGTCTCCACAACTGTTGACTTTACTGATTCACCTCCCATTCCCTCTTCTAAACATTCTTTCCAACCCTCTTTCTTACTTATCTACTGAATCTGTTTTTACTATGTCTTTATCTTGCCATGTCCCACACCAAAAAAAAAAAAAACCAAAACAACAAACTTGGTCACTCTTCATACACACACACACACACACACACACAATATCTTGTCAGTAAGCTTACCATTTTCATGTATTGTAGATGTGTGTATATATATATATATATATATATATATATATATATACACATATATTTTAAGGTTTTGTATTTGTCCTCATCCATTTAACTTTTATATATGTATGCACATGTGTATTATACATATATCCACATATGTATATATACACCCATAAAAATTTTGTGTGTTGGTCCTGCATCTTGAACTCAGAGCCTCACATTCTTGCTCCCTTTTTTGCTCATGTCTGGCCTCTATCATTTGAACCATACTTGTAGTTCTGACTTTTTGCTGGTTAACTGGAAATAAGAGTCTCCTGAATTTATTTGGGTTGTGACAAACTTTGATCCTCAGATCTCAGCCTCTTGGGTAGCTAGGATTGTAGCCGTAAGCCATAAACTGGCTTACACCCAGCTTCTTTCTATATGTTAAATGCATATAAAAATTGCTTCTGAGCTCTAGAATCATTATTTAATTACCTATTTCACTATCTCTACTTGGATATATTTGATGTATTCTGCATATAGCAAGCTAAAAATGTTTTAGAGTGAACTCTTGTTTTCTTCATTTACTCACTTTCCAGTTATCTCTACTCATCTTAACTTGTCTATTTCCATAAATGGAAGAGTTATCTATTCAACTATTTAAGTGGGAAATTGCAGACTTATTCCCAGTGGCGTATTTTTCATCACACTCCCTAACCCTCAATTTTCAACTACTCAGCAAGGTTATATTGATTCTGAATTCTGGCTATACTTCAAATCTAGGCTCTTATCTGTATTGCCACTGCAACTACTCTATCGATATCACTGTTACCTCTCATTTTTTACCACTTTTCCTATTTCCTTCCTTGCTCTCACTTCAAATCATTCTCCAGGAAGCAGCCATTATGCCTTAAAAAAAACAACAACAGTGATCAGAATGTTTCTTTTTGCTGTTTGATACCTATCAATGATTGCTTGGTTCAGCAGCTATGACCTGACCCCCAACTTCTTTCCCAAAACCATCTTGTCAAACTAGCTTTTTTTTTTAAACTAAGAACTTTCTAGCCAGAATTTAGCATAGTGCTTTGAATACAGAATGCACTCAGAAATACTGTGAATAAGTAGCATGAAGTATTGTACTTATTTTGGTTTTATTAAAAAATTTTTTTTGGTGGAACTGGGATTTGAACTCAAGGCCTAATGCATGTCAGGCCCTTTTTATGGAGCTATATCTCTAGCCCTGTTTGCTGCTGATTATTTTTAGGATAAGGTCTCACTTCCCACTGGGTGAGTACTAAGCTGTGCTCTGCCTACTTTAGGCTTGCTGTTTCTTTCTGGGTTCACAGGCATATGTCACCCTGTCTAGTTTCTGTGTTGAGATGGAGTCTTGCAGGCTTTTTCTTCCTGGGCTGGTATGGAACTGTGATCCTCCAAACTCAGCCTCCCACAAACCTTGGGGTGTGTGCTACTGTATTCAGGGATCTCCTGAACTCTCCCCTTCAAACTGGTCTTGAATGCAACCCTATTCTCTGCCTCTCACATATCTACAATTAAAAATCCTTATTTTAATTTTGCAGACTTCAGTGCAGGGAAGTTTTATTCCTTTTTCCTTTTGCCTATCAGAGGATAGTGGCTTTGAGTCAGAGTAAGGTGGAATGTCTTGGTTCATACTTTCCGGTGCCTTCACACTCAAACTAGTTTGAAAATCAGCTCTATTTTTTTTTTTAACCAGGAAAGAAACAAAGATACTTTTGTTTGGAATCCTTGAAGGACAATTATTCATTGAAAGTGAGGGAACTGATTTTACTAATTTGCCAACATGCAAATCCCTTGACACTTTCCTACGCTAAGGCTCTTTGCATACATTGCCTTGTGATTTAGGGGAAGAAGCAATTAGTTGTAAGTTGAAAGGCAAGAATTTTGGCTTTTCTCTGCCATTTATCATCTGTGTGACTTGAGATGAACTATTTTATCTCTAAGCTTTAGTTTCTCATATATTATATGAGAAAATTACCTGGCCTGTGTAGTTTATGTGTCTGGTCTAAGCATTAAACAAATAACATATATAAAAGCACTTGACTAGCTCCACAAATGTAAGCAGTTATAATTTCTAAAAGTTTTGCAAAACTTGATCCACATTTTTGGTTGTTGTATGGCACTGCAGATCACATGTATCACCTCCCATATATCGTATAAGCAGTTAACAACTGAACTATATTCTCAGTCCCTAATCAACTTCTTTTTAAAGGAATTGCATAATACATTTTTCAGATTTTTGTGTAACTCACCTATCAGTTGCAGGTCAAGCCACCCAGGTTTTTTGAGTGACTTTTTCCTTCTGTGTTCAATGAACTGGCAGGAGTCCTGTCCATGTACAGTATAAAACCTTTGTCTTAATCACCTCCAGTTCTAAATTCCTTCCCAGTTTTTAGTTTCACATATATCTTGAACCTTCTGATTATTCTTTATGTCAACTTAGTATAGATCTTAGTCTCATTTTTAAATGTTCCACAACCATCCATAACATTGATTGTATCTGATATTTGCTTGTGGTTTAAGAGTAATGGGGAAAGCTTTTTTTAAGCATAGCAGATGGTTTAAAAATATTATTGTTAAGCATAACCATTCTTAAATTCCTCAGTCATCTTCCCAAGGGCATTATCTGACTTACCCACTTTTCCCCAGAACTCAGCCAGCTACCATGTTGTTCTGGCCATGAAGCTTTCTTTCCAGATCCTGTTCTTTCCTCTCCTCTCATTTTCCAAAGCCCATAAATCCTTCACTTAGGCTACTACTGGATAGCCAGAATGTGTATAATTCATTCTAGAAGTTAGATTCCTGCTTCCCATTCCAAACTTTGTTTCTTCATAAAGTCATTTAGGTAATTTTCTAAACTCTTCTGGGCTTTCGCTATTAGCCAGCAGAAGGGATTGGAACAAAACTTTAAGACCTTAGTGCTTTATTTCCATGATTAAAGTATTAGGCTTATGTTTTTGAAGAAAAGTGGAATAGCATTTATTTTTTCTATATTAGTATGTTTTTCCTAATCTATAATAGAAAATATTAATTCTGTTCTTCCTCCCACTCATAACTGTAGAATGGCCACAAAGTTTTAAGTTATTTTTTTTTTTTGTCGGTCATGGGGCTTGAACTCTGGGCTTGGGTGCTGTCCCTCAGCTCTTCAGCTCAAGGCGAGTGCTCTACTGCTTGAGTCACAACACCACTTCCGTTTTTCTAGCAGTTTATTGGAGATAAGAGTCCCACGGACTTTTCTGCCTGGGCTGGCTTTGAACCGTGATCCTCAGATCTCAGCCTCCTGAGTAGCTAGGATTACAGGCGTGAGCCACTGGCGCCTGGCTATAAGTTTTTTAAAAGAGAATTTCCCTACATGTATATATTACAAAAGATGATCAGTGAACATTTTATATCAAGACTGGCTCAGATAAGACTGACTTGTTTGTCTAAGTTTTTCATGTGCAGTATCTTAGAAAATTTCACTTTCATCAACAAAGGGGAATGAGGCAATGTCCTCCTTCTCACCCACTATATATACTCTATTTCTCATTCCAGGTCAAGATTATGATGCCTAATGACTACTAGGCCATGGGTGCAAAGAAGTCAGAACTACATAAAGAAATCCTGCTGTGCAGTCCCCTTCTTGAAGCTACCTGTCTATCAATAGTACATTTGTATGCTCTTCTTGTTATAAGAGCATCATCTTGGCAGTCTCTCCTATCTTGGTTTCCTAAGGCTGTTTTAACAAGGTGCCATTACTAGTTGGCTTATAACAACAACAAGTTATCCTTTCATGTTTTTTGAGCCTAGAAATCTAAAATCAAAGCTCAGTGTCATGCTCTTTCCAAAGGTTCTATCAAAGAATCTTCCCTTGTCCTTTCCCAGTTCTGGTTTCTTCTGGAAATCTCCTGACATTCCCTGACTTGTCATTTCAGCATCTGCCTATGTCTATACATAGTCTGTTTGCCTGGAAGGCTCATCCATGGTTAATGCATTACATCAGTTTTGACTAGTTACTGTCCTTATTCACTTTTTGGTCATTTTCTCCTAGCCCACCAATGAAAAATGAAGTTACTGTTCAGAGTAGCCTAAAGAGGAGGCAGAGATGATTTCTTTTTCTAATACTGGCTTCCCCAAATCTAGACTGTTCCAAAGACTGCTCCTATACCAAGCTCTGAGCCTCCTGCCATTTTTTCCCTGGGCTCTCTCTTCATCTCATGGTCTCATTGTAGAAAGTAACATAGTAGTAAATGCAAAGTAGAGGTGGCCTATAGCAAAATGGGCCTTGTGGAAATGAATGGCATATGATATATGCTGTAGATAGACACTTACATGACAGTGATTTTAAAGCTTCTGCATAATTCCTAAATAGGACATACAGAAACTTGCCAGGTTATAGGGTTTTATGATTCAGCTCTTAGTATTTGTGTACTTCATTAGCTCAAGATGGTTGTCCCATGGTACTTTAAGGAAAGAACTTTAAAGACTTCCTGTACCCCAACTGCCTTTCTATATTCTCTGGTTTGTTTGATATTTTAGGTGATGAGGCCAACCCTTGTAAGTTTCAGGCCTGTAATGAATTTTCTGAATGTTTGGTCAACTCCTGGAGTGGAGAAGCAAAGTGCAGATGTTTCCCTGGGTACCTGAGTATAGATGATCTGCCTTGTCAGAGTCTCTGTAACCTACAGCCAGACTTCTGCTTGAATGATGGAAAATGTGACATCATGCCTGGGCATGGGGCCATTTGTAGGTATGTTGTAATTAGAGATAACCTTAGCTATATAACCTTATAGATATTTCTTCTGAAGAAAATGGATGGATACTATAATTTAGGGCAATCATTATACATTTGTTGTATGTAGGCAGAAGGTAGATGCTGTCCATTTCTCATGTGAAGATTGAGCCATTTAGCAGACTTGAATTATAAATGCAGTACAATTGGTTATATTATGCCATTGGAGAGCTCTGAAAAATTTTCCAACAAAGAGTACTTAGGGTAACTTGAGATCTTTGTATTATATTTTTAGTGGTGATGATAAAAAACACAGTGTTCCAAACAAGGTTTAGACATCGATACTCTATCTGAAGGTGAAAGCAAAGGATTTTTATTGTTCTGCCTGAATTCTTTTTTTTCATATTTGTATTAAGTAGTTTACAAAGGGGTTTCAACTTAGAAGTCATATTATGAGGACAATGCCTCTTGATCAATGTTACCCTTTCCATCATTTTCCCCTTGGAGTAATTCTTAATAACTTTGAGTTTCCTCAATTCCTACTGCATTTTCACCAACAAGGTATACTTGACATTTTTGAAAGGATGACAAATATATTTTCCTTTAAGTGCATCTGAATCCCCATTTTTTTTGTACTGCTCTTGGAGTTTGAACTCAGGTCCTGGGCACTGTCCCTGAGCTTTTTTGCCCAAGACTAACATTCTATCACTTGAGTCACAGTTCCACTGTTAGCTTTTTGCTGGTTAATTGGAATTCTTAATGCCTGAGGAAATTTGTACTTCTTTGCTGCTCTGGGGACTAAAGACATTTTTACACAATGTTGTGGCCTTAGTGATGAAAGGGTTTCTTTAGTGTGGGATATAGAGAACTGGGTTCTAGACCCAGCTTTGCCCTGCTCTGATTGCATAATCTATTGCCAGTCACTTTTCTTCTTGGGTCTGTGTTTAGTTACCCATAAATAAAGAGGTTGAATGGAATCATTTGTTGAAGCCTATTATAAGTCAATTATAAGCAGTTATTAAGGATCTTCTGAGTCGGCGCCAAGCATTATGCTTAGCATTAGGCCATATGCTAGTTTAACTTGTATATCAATATCCAGATGTCTCTCTTCCCCTTCCTTCCCCTCCCCTCTCTTTTCTTCTTCCCTCCTCTCCTCACCTCTCCCCTCCCCTCCCCTCTCCTTTCTTCTTTCCCCTCCTTTTGCTTCCCTCCCTCCTTTCCCTTCCCTGCTCTCCTCCCTCTTCTTTTCCTTCCTTTCTCCCTTCTTTCCCTCCTTCTTTCCCTCCCTTTTCTCTCTCTGTCTCTCTCTATGTTTCTTTGTCTCTATCTCTCTTCGCTTCCTTCCTCCCTTCTTTTTTTCTTTGCTGGAGATGGAACCCAGGGTCACATGAATGCTAAACATTGACAGAGAGCTATACCCCAAAGAACTATATTCAACTATTTAATGAAGGTTTACATGGTCAAAGTTTGTATTTCTACCTTTCCCCTTTCGCACCAAAGGTTTTTCTGTTCGTTATCACTTTGAGCCAAATGATTCAAATCTTGGGTTTGGTGATGTTCTTTACAGATGCCGAGTGGGTGAAAACTGGTGGTACCGAGGTGAACACTGTGAGGAGTTTGTGTCTGAGCCCTTGGTCATAGGCATCACCATAGCTTCAGTGGTTGGCCTTCTCTTCATCTCTTCTGTTGTCATCTTCTTCTTTGTCAAGACTCTTCAAGCTCAGAATAACAGGAGAGAAAGAGAAAGGCCTAGCAGGTAAATAAGGGAAAAGCACGCTGATGGAATATAATGTTTTGTTGCTCATTCATTTAGTACTTACTATGTACCAAATAGCAAAGAGCTGAATGAAAGAGAGAGATACAAAGTTGATAAAGGCATGGCTCTTTACAGTGGTATCTTTTGGCAAACAATGTAAGCAGCACTATGATGATATGCTAAGGAGCCCAGACAAGGAATGAAGTAGTTCTCCCTAGGAAAGACTTGCTAGGGAAGAGAGTCTTAAAAGTTTTAGCAATAGTTGTGATATTTTACAAACAGAGGAGTAAATACTTTTTGGGAGTTGGGTGGGACTCTTTCCAGATAATTGAGTATAAGCCAAGTCAGAGGGGCATGCTCTGCAGGAAAATCTTTATTGAGTGTGGTCAGGGAGGATATAGTGAGGGGTTGATAGGAGATGGAAATGGTGAGTCTCCCTGTTGAGGGTTAGATGTGTGTCAGTTTATTTCTCTTTGGCTCCTAATAGTTGGGTAAGGATCGGATAAGAAATCAAATCTGATTCTCTGTTAAGTTGAATGTGGCTTTATTAATGAGGGAAAATACTTAGTAGACTAAGGATCTAAGGACTCCTTTGGTGGTTTTATGATTGTGAAGTGGCAGTTGGAGTTACTTCTGGTCAGTCTACTTCCTTCACCAGCTGGTAGAGGTGCCCCTCTTCCTGGTCCAACACCACCTAGGACATACCTCCATCCAGCATGGTTCTTATGCTTTTTATTGAATCTCAGTTTTCAACAAACTGCAACCTCATTTATGGCAGAGATTGTGTCACAGGCATCTAGAAAAACCCTAGGCACATGGCTAATCTTAGTATTTGTAGACCTGAATTGAACTTAACTGAGGCCCATCTCCTAATATTTGTGTTTGTTTAAATCATATTCTCTTGTGCTATCCACCGATTTTCCATATGTATAACTCTGAGAGTGCTAGAGCTGTCTTTGTTTAATGAAATGCTGCCCATGAAGACTTGGTTCCTAATCAAAATTTATTGAGTGTCAGGCACTGTGGGAAAATAAGATGAATGAAACATGGAATAGTGATGCCACGTGACAGTTTTTGAGATTCATCTGGATATTCTCATGATTACCTTTCTCCCTGCTCCATTTGTATCCATTTCCCCTCTTTTTTTCAGAAACCTTGTCTAGATAAACAGTTATCAACTATTAGAGCAATCTTGAATCAGTATCTTTCTTTTTGTGCCTTCAAAAGGCATCCTGACAGCCTGTCATCCATCGAGAATGCTGTGAAGTACAACCCTGCTTACGAAAGCCAGGTGGCTGGATGTGAGCAGTATGGTGGAGCTCAGTATCCCTTCTACAGTTCTGCCAGTGAAGAGGTGATTGGTGGTCTGAGTAGAGAAGAAATCAGACAGATGTATGAGAGCAGTGGCCTTTCCAAAGAGGTAAGGACTACTTTTTGTTTCTGTATTTCTCTCCTTTTCTTCCTCCTTCTCCTCTGCTTCCTCCTCTTCCTCTTTTTCCTCTTGTTGTTGTTGTTGTTATTGTTGTTGTTGTTGTTGCTGCTGCTGCTGCTGCTGCTGCTGCAGGGTGTGTGTGTGTGTGTGTGTATGTGTTTGTGTGTGTCCATGTGAATGGTTAATTCTTTTTTTTTAATTGTGAAAATACCGTACAGAGGAGTTACAATTACATGGGCAAGATAATGAGTACATTTCTTATCAAGCATTGTTGCCTCCTCCTTTGTTTCCCCTTCCCATCCCTTGCATGGTTAATTCTTACCTCCCCCAAAGTGTAGTAGGCAAGGAGCATGCATGTGTGAGCTCTACTTTCTTTTCCATTGAGTGGCTACTTCTTTCATTATTAACAAATCCTCCTTCTTTTCCCTTTTCTTGGAACTATATATCAGTTAAAGTATCTTGCAGTGTCCACAGCAATAAATGTAGAATCTTCTATTTCTCTAGAGACAAGCTCTCCTTTGGGAAACTCCCAAACTCCCAATTCTATATGAACTCCTAGAATTTTGTTGAAGTTTTTCAAACACCGTCTGTATCTTCTTCCTTTTTGTTTAAGGAAATTCAAGAGAGAATGAGGATATTGGAACTGTATGCTAATGATCCAGAGTTTGCAGCTTTTGTGAGAGAGCATCAAATGTAAGCATTCCAGAAGCCCTTTTGTAACCTACCAACCTTATAGTTTGTCTTATAGAAGTGTCACCAACGCAAGCATGTTATTCTTGTTCATGTGACAAAAGTTGTAGTGATGACCAAAATTGATTGGGTTCTTGAAAGTTTATGCATGTTCTAACAGAGTATTTCATGTTTTCCTTATAATGGCTTTATAAGTTGGATGTTTCTTAGTCGAGGAAAGGAAAACTTGGAAAAGCAAAGAGACTTACGTAAGGTGATAGTGATAAAAAGCAGCAGAGCAGATTCTAAACTATCTGTTTTGACCTAGATTTCCCTGGGCTATGTCAGTAATACCCTGTCTCAAAAACACAAAAAACATAAAACCCAAAGGCATCCAAAGAAAGGCATCTGATAAGGAATTAAAATAACAGAAACCATCTATGAAACAAGATTTAAGATTCTATAAAACAAAAGGCAGCACATATAGCCTTCAGAGGGATGCATGTAGAGGGAAGATGTATTGAAAAAACTGTAGGGCCTGTTAAAGATGTAAGCACCTAATCCACAGAGCATTTTCAGTCTGTACTTGGTGTACTTAGTGTTCTCACTTACCATGTAGCCCAAAAATGTTAACAGACTTAAGATGTAGGAAAAGCATTACATGGTCTTTATGTTTTGTTTAACTTAGCACAACAAAGTTATAAATAAGTTATATACAACCCCTCACTCCCACCCCAGACACCCTTTACTCCAATAGAAGCAAAGAGAAAGCACTGGTGATTTTGGTGATGTAGTACATTCGTGCCTTTCCACTGTATTGGTCTTTATGTTCTTTGTTTTTTTGTTTTTCATTGCAGGGAGGAGCTTTAACACAAATGCCTATCTCTGACATGGATTAGAAGTGTGAAGATGCCGACCACCGATTAGCCATATCATGTAATTAATTTGGACTTTACTTTGAATACCACTGGAAGAAGAATCTTCCATGAAAAAAATACATGAATGTGGAACACACACGATTTCCCTAGCTTAAAATTTTTATTTCTGCAAAGACTAAGAGCTTGTGTTAAAGAAAATTCAAAATCATAAGTTTTGGGAAGTATTCTACTACAAAAGAAGGGGGATGAGGGAGAGGTGGGGAAGAGAGAGAGCGAGACAGAGAGGAGGGAGAGAGAGAGGGGGAAGAGAGTATGAGAGAGAGAGAGAGAGAGAGAGAGAGAGAGAGAGAGAGAGAGAGAGAGAGAGAACAGAGAGGACAGAAAGAGAGAGAGAGAGGGTGAGTGAGAAATAAAAATCCAGTTCCTGGAGTTAGTGCTGCAATTTCTGTCTGCTCCTGAGTCTTGAGATTTCTCTTAAGAAAGAATTGTGCCTCAAGTTTCCCAGATGGAGAATAATGTTAGGAGTATGGCAAGGAGAAGTTAAGCTTTGTAAATCTCTATTATGTAGCTGATTTTTTAATGTTGGATAGATGGAGGGAGTCTGGGAAGTAATTTTAATATAGTTTAAAGTAATTATCTACATAAAACATCACATTTTGTTTGGTTTTTAATTTAAAAAGTAATTGATAATTATTTTAAAACATTATAAATGTTAAGGATATTTGTCATAAATGCTTGGTTTTATTTGTAAAACTTTCAAAAGATTTAAGATTCAAAACTTTATTTTCCTAAGCTCATATGTGTTGGATGAAAAACAAATTGTTTATAAATCACAAATTAACACCAAAAGGCAACTCTTTAAATGGGTGCTTGCTGGAAGAGTTCTAGGTGGCTATAAAGGTTGTCTAGGGCACATCGCCATGAAAAATACTCAGGAGAAGCACAGACTGAGCCAAAGGAGGACAGTTGTTTTCCAAGAGACAAGCAGTGAAGGGGGAAGTTGGAAATTTTTGACATCTGTCACTGTCACTGATTTACTTTTGAATGACCTTCTCATAAAGGGGCAAATTACTGAGCTCTGTAAGAGCATCTGCTTCACAGCAATGAAATGAAAGAGAAAAGAAATCTCCATCACAGTAAGGACAGGAGGTCTCAGTCTATACTTCCATTCTACCTTTTCTATCATGGGAAAAAAATGAAAGAATTCAGGTTCTGCAGTGACCATCCACTGCTGCATGAGTCAGTCAGTCACTGTAGCTAATCTATGGGGGAATAGCCATCCCTAAAGAGCATCTCTTAAAAAGGTATTTTCTCAAGGCAATTTAATGGTATGTTGTCATTGAGAAGTCTTAGGCCAAAATCCTATTTAGGGACTCTCATTTCATTAAGGAATGAAATTTTCTGAATATTAAAACATTGCCATTAACCTAGCAACATAATATTCAATATCATGTTATTCAAAAGTAATAAAACAGAGTATTATAAAATGCATGGTAAATAACTCAAGCTTTTTCTGTCTCCTGGATTCATAAGGTACAGTGAGTCTTATAGATGTGTTATTTGATAAATAGGTCCATTTTTATTATTATAATAGTTTAAAATATTTGTTCACATTTATGTGGCTTAACATACCACTTACTTTACATAAAAAGATGAGTGTAGGTTTTGTTAGATTTTATTACACCTATTTTTTTTTCTTTCTTTTGGGCTTGTCCCTGAGCTTCTTTTCCTCAGGTTAGTGTACTACCACTTGAACCACATCACCACTTCTCGCTTTTTCTGAGTAGTTTATTGGAGATATGTGTCTCATGGACTTTCCTGCCTTGGTTGACTTTGAACTGTGATTCTCAGATCTCAGCCTCCCGAGTAGCTAGGATTATAGGCATGAGCCACTGGCTCCTGGCTCCACCTATGTTTTTACTTTTGAAATATCTAGTCACCATGGGTTGGTTCTTCCTTCTCCAATACTTCTCCTTTCCATCTGACCACATAGTGAATTATAATGTAGTTAGACAACCGTAACTTAATATTACTTCTGACAAAATGATGGAAACTGCACAATTATTCTTTATAGATACTAAACTATGTTGGATTAAATATGATACTTGAACTAGCTATAATATGCTTGTTTTATAGTTTTCCTTCCTTTTCATGTTTAAGCAGTTAGTTTACCTCGATGTCATTTTCATGTTGTCAGACATTTACTGTCTCTGAACTAACTTTTTATTTCACAGGAGGAAATGAATACACAAATTTATTTTTTAAAAAAGCAGATGATTTAGGAGAATGACCTATCTTTATAAATTGAGATATTTTATCCAAGAAAAATATGGGTCAAGCTTTTTTTTCCCCCCTAAGATGTTTCTAACGATTCCCAGTGGAAATGGGTGAGGCCAATCTTCTTCATTTACCATCCAGCTGCAGTGAGTCAGGATCCTAGTTCATTTTATTCCCAAATGGACAATAAATGCAGTAAAATTATGTGAAGGTCACAATCCTCAAGTCCATTGCATTGTGTCCCACAAAGGATCCTGGCTAGAGATAGGAAGATGGGTGGCTACCATGATATAATTGATGATGTTAAGAATTTGCCTGGAAATTTCCTTGACTCATGTGTTTTGTAAAATCTTACACTACTCTTACGAGCTAATGAGACAGATTAAGCCACTCCCCTCAGGAGAATAAGACAAGATTAAAATACTCCCTCAACAAAATTATAATTTCAGTTTAGATCGAATGATTCTTTATCCTCATTTTCTCCCTGTTATATTTAATTAATTCTTTGGAGATAAAAGATATGTATAGGAAAATATCAGGGAATACAAATATATAGTTATATAATCCAGACTATGATGACTCCTATGTAATCGTGTACATACCACAGCATATGTTTAATATGGAGTATAGTTAATGAAAAACTTTTTTTGTCTATAATGGCATTTTATCCAAAGTGTGATCAAATAAATTTATGTAACTATATTATTTTTATTCAATGTTAGCTAATTAGCTTTATGTATATATAAGAATGCATACAATAATGTTACTTTCATTAGTAATAAATGTATCTTTCATGAACTTGTCTATATTTTTTGCCAATTAAAAATTTGGCAATGGTTGAATTGTAATCATAATCCAAAGATAAATATATGAACATGACTGGAAAAGTAAAATCATTCTTCAGTTGATCTTGGTGTAGTGAGGATTAGGAGAATCTTAGATAAGTCTGTAGCCAAATTGTGGCCTTAGATTTTGTTGATAGTTGGTGAAACTGAATCATTATTTGACCTCCTCTGAACTTTACTCTTTTAAACACTTTCAGTTTTTTCTCATGTGCTTAAGGCAGCAATGGAAGAAAAACTGAAGTTGATTAAAGAAATATTAGGTGGGGTAGCTGGCACCATCTGTCTTGTAAGGAGAGAGAAAAATCAGTGATCCATCAAAAGCTAAGAGAAGGCATAAATATGGCAACAGTAATTCAAACCCCCATGCAGTAGAAGAGTAGGACGATTATCAGCTAGCAATTACTGAACAGGAAATTTCCAATAGATTAACGACATAAGCCTCAATTTTAGTTATTTCCTTACTATTTCCATGATATCTTACTAGCAACTACACACAAGGGAATCATAAATCAGTCTTAGAAAAGAGGGGAGAGAAATAGTTTTGATTTGACTAAAAATACTGTAAAGTATAGAAGAAACATGTCTAATAAACATCTTCTTGTTTGCTTAATTAGTAACCTAATTTTAGGGGGAACAGTGAGTAATAGCCTGTTTTTAGACCATGATTAAGGTCTGGACAAGTCCTAGTCATCCTTAATTCATAACTTCACCATAATGGTCTAGACTGTGAATTTATGTCTATCTCATTAGCCCATGGTGGACTGTGTTATTTACTTTTATCTTTTCACCAAGACAGCATATCTATATCTTCTCCTTCCTAATTAGAACAAATGAATTCATGTTAATATACTAATACATGTTAAATAATATTTTCCAAGGAATACCAAGTTGTTTATGGGATTTCAGAAAACAGTTCATTACCCTAAATGAGTGACTTCTTGTCAATCTGGCATTGCACCATGGTAAGAAAGAGGAAAGAATAGCATGTTTTTAGAAAATGATTCAGTAAGCCTCAAATAAGAAAAAATACCAAAACTTCGCTTTTTTTGTTTTTTGTTTTTTTGGCAAAAAATAAGTAATTTATTTTAGGGAATGGGGAGTGTACAGTCTCAGAACTTCTGGAATTGCTTCTTGGTTTGTGTCTTTTTCTATCCTATTTACATGCCTCCTTTTGGTTATTTAACAAGACTGTGTGGTCTGGGAAGGTGGCTCAGTGGTAGAGTGCTTGCCTAGCATGCATGAGGCCCTGGGTTTGATTCTTCAGTACCACATAAACAGGGAAAGCCAGAAGTGGCACTATTACTAAAGTGGTAGAGTGCTAGCATTTAGCAAAAGAAGCTCAGAGACAGTGCCCAGGCTCTGACTGGCAAAAACCCCAGGACTGGCCAAAAAAAAAATCTCAGAGATAGCACCTAGCTCTGAGTTCAAGCTCTAGGATTGGTAAGAGAGAGAGAGAGAGAGAGACAGACAGACAGACAGAGACAGAGACAGAGACAGAGAGAAGACAGAGAGACAGAGAGAGAGAAAGAAAGAAAGGGAGAGAGAGAAAGAGTAAAAAAGAAAAAAGGCCTCTGAGTACAAGACAGTAGATAAGGAAACCAACAATAGAAATAAGTCTTTTTATGTATACAGAAAGCATTTATTTAATCCTGAAGAGTTTAATAAATATGATTTTATTGCTTTATTTCTATTTTGTATAGAACAGAATAAATTAAAGGTACCAAGAGAGGGAATGTGTGAAAATTTATTCCAAAGTATGAATGTAAGCAGTTAAAATTGCTTCAGTATTGCCTATTCTTTTTAAAAATGTAAAAGTGAAGGTAACACTTCTAGAGAAATATATTTTCCTTATGATTTGATCTCTGTGACATGGTAGTGGAATGATCTTCCTTCTTCATAAAAGAAAGCTGTAAAACACATGTTGAGAACTAGAAATCCCTTCTGTTCAACACAGTGAGCCAGGGAAGTATTTTCCATTGCTTCATTTTTTCTTATTTTACTTTCAGGTTCATTAGTGATATTTCAAAGCCAGAATTTAACTTGGAATGTACAGCTGTAGACTTAAGTGCACTTTTCCTTAATGGGCTTTTCATTCATTCATTTATAATTAATGAATTCTATTTTGAAAGCAGTGTTGAATTAATTTTGACTTAAAAAATAAAATTGATAATTTGGAGAAATCAATATAACCAGGTGGTTTTTCTCAGCTTTACTAAACCATACTTAAGAGAAATGTTAATGATCATATTATAACAGCACTCATTTTGCCAGCATCTTTGTGATACGCATCCAGGAGCCATGTGTACTAGTAACATTTAGTAATTTCTTTTTGGTTTTGGCCTGTGGTATTCTGTGCTTCTCTTCATGGACATATTTAAAGCAGGACCTGACACTTACTTCTACATGGAATGTCCCATCATCACAGAAAAAGAAGCCTTTGCTATCTGTTCCCAGAACCCCCGAGGAAAAGAGAGGATTATCACATGGCAATTTATAGAGATGACCAATGTAGTTACTTCATTCAGTCTTTTTTTTTGGGGGGGGGTCCAGACGTGGGGCCTGAACTCTGGGCCTGGGCGCTGTCCCTCAGCTCTTCAGCTCAAGGCTAGCACTCTACAACTTGAGCCACAGTGCCACTCCGGCTTTTTTCTTTTTGCTTATGTGGTGCTGAGGAATCAACCCAGGGCCTCAGGCATGCAAGGCAAGCACTCTACCACTGAGCCATCTTCCCAGCCCCTTCATTCAGTCTTTTTATCTAATTGCCTTAGCTAATTTTGTCCCCAGTACTGTTTGATTTAAAATAGAAAGTTGAGTTAAATTGCTACCTAATATAGTCATTGTTGAGGCCAAATTGTGTAAATTGCAAATGCAATATGTTTAATCTTAACTTTCATCCTGACTGGAGGAGAAAGTGTTGTTACATATTCCCAAGTTATAACACTCTTTTTCAGAGGCAGA